ATAGGACTTCAATAATTAAAATACTGTAATATTGGCATTAAGATAGATAAATAGATCAATGGAACAGAATAATTAAAGTAGAATAATATTGGTGTCAAGATAGATGATAAGATCAATAGAATAAAGTGGAGAGTCCAGAAATAGAATCACACCTATGAAGCCAATTGATTTTGCACTCAGGTGTAAGGATAATTCAGGGAAGTACAATGTTTTCAATTAGTGGACATGGAATAATCAGATATCCTTCTGTACAAAATATTAAATCTGGTCCAACCCTTATATTAGATATAAAAATTAAGTCAAACAGAATCCAAAATCTAGTCTAAAATTGTAAAATTTCTAGGATAAACATTTGTGGTCTCAGGTTAGGCAAAGATTTCTTATATTCAACACCAAAAGAACAAACTAAAACAGCACATATTGTATAATTCCCTTTAGATAATATTCTAAAAAATGCAAAATTGACCTATGGTAACAAAGCAGATCTGTAGTTTTCAAAATGTAAAAGAAGAAGCGAATGTGATTAAAGAGGCGGGGGACACTTTTGAGAGTGATGGACACATTGATGGCCTTGATCGCGATGAGGTTTCCATAGCTGCGTACATATTTCAGTATTTACCAAATTGTGCACAGCTGGGCTGGAGCTGTCCAGCAGGCTGCAGGCAGAGGCGTGGTGCCTCAGCACTAACAAAATCTCTGTACCCCACCACTCAGAGGTGGGGCTCCTTTTTGGCTTGGGGAGATGACAAGAAATGTAAACATTCTTGTACCTAGGAAAACTCCTAATAAGAACACCCCAGGAATTTCTATTAATCTTTATGAGAATGTGTCTTTTGTTACTAAATAGGACATTCTTTGATCAAACTGTAGGAGATCTTCCACTGTTTCTGTCCCCACTGCTACCTTAGAGGTCTTTTACCTTACAACTCTCATGCCCAGCCTCCCCTACCAACTACTCAACTGTCCAGAGTCCTCTGGGAGTTACCTCCCACTGAGCCTGGCTTCCCTGAATTCCCAAGTCAATCATTCTTGCTTCTGTCTCTCTGACCCTTCAGTGTAGAGGCCATATTCAGGAGGGAAGGGATTACTAGATGGATTCACACTCAAGATGGTATAAGTGACTAGGGCTACCTTTTTAAAGTCTCAAGAGCATTTTTATTTCAAAAGAAATGCTTATTTATTCCAAAGAATGACTCTCCAATGGTGGAATTTGATATAAGTTGCTAGTTCTTCCAGTATGGAATTGAAGGGGCTCTCCAAATCTCTCCATAGTAAACCATATACACTGCCTTATAAAATGAAATGACATCTTTAGATATATTTTAACTCTAATGCAACTCTGAGCAGGAAAGAATGAATCAAGTGTGTATTTTTTATAATAACATGAGAAACACATGCTGTCAGGCTGCTGTTACCTTGGAAAATTATCTTAAATGCCCAAGTTCAAGTTAGTAGTAGTTTCAGCAACTTAGCTTAATATACTTGTTAATGATCTAGTGAAGTATGGAAACATTTGCTGGTCACACAAAAGTATTTAGGTTCATAAGAGCTAAGGAGATTTGTGAGGAATTTAAGGTGGTTCTAGTAAACCTGGAGATACGAAGATTTGTAACATTTTGTGGAGAAGGATAGAAAAATAATAGATATTGAAAGAAATGATTTAAATTCTATGTAATTTAAACAGTGCCTATGCTAAACTTAAAATTTGTGTTTGCTTTGAAGGAAAAATCTCTGCTATGTAAATCAACTTAATGAAAATATGTCATCAACATCTAATCGAAGGTGCTTGGAGGGAGGTAAAAATAAAGTATATGGTAATTCAGAAAAAAGAGGGAAAGATACAGGAAATTGTGGGTGATGGGGTTGAGCGACAATTTGACAAGCTCTCTTCTGTTCACTCAGTTATGATGTTTTTCTACAGTTACCCCATCCCAATATGCATTTAAGAAACTTCCCAAGACCAAAAAAAAAAAAAAAAAAAAAAAAAAGAATAAAGATTGATCTAAAACAGTACTTCTCAGGTGTAATCCCCAGACCAGCAGCAACAGAATCTCCTGGCAACCTATTAGAAATGCAATTATCAGGCCCCAATCCCAAACATCCCTACATCAGAAATTCTGGTGATGGAGCACAGTAGTCGATTTTAACAAAACCCAAGGAGAATCCAATACAAGCTGAAATTTGAGAACCATTGCTCTAAGTCAGTCACTCCCTTTTGCAAATAGTTATATTAAGGTTAAGAATTGACACCCTTTAGTCAAATGAGATACAAGTGACAGGGTTGGAGAATTCTTAAAAAGGTGATGAAAACTGGAAAGATATTGCCATTTTTGGCCATAGTTATGTTAGAATGTGATGGCTGGAGTTGCAGTAGCCACTTTGTGATGACGATCAGGCACATTTGAAGAGTGCAGAGAAAAAAAAAAATCATGTCTTTGTGTCAGTGGTTCAGCCAATATTGACTCTGCTTGCTTCCAGGATGTCCTTGCTGTGTGAAAAAGTGAACTCCACTTTTGATCTTGATCAAGCATTCTATTCCATGCATTTGGAATGCCTCCCCCCAATCTTTCCTTCTCCATCGTAGTATAGTGGGAGCAAGCCAAAAGAGACAAAGGCCCAGGATGGTGAGACAAAAATCTGGAGCACAGATCTTAGCCCTCTCACCTGAGCACATGTAAGCTCTGTTCCTGAATCTCATAGCAAGTATGTTTTTGAGACTTACTGCTCTTACACTGTCTTAAAAAAAAATCTTTCTTGCTTCCATATGACCCAGCAATCCCACTCCTATCTACCCAAAAGGCACAAAACGCTGATTCAAAAAGATACCTGCACCACCATGTTTATTGCTGCTTTATTCATAATTGGAAAGACATGGAATCAACCCAAATGCCCCAAAATACAAGACTGGATTAAAAAGATGTGATACATATACACAATGGATACTCAGCAACCAAAAAGAAAGAAACTGTTGCTGCTGTCTTTTGCAGCAACATGGATGGAGCTGGAAAAGATCATGCTTAGTGAAGTAAGCCAGAAAGAAAAGGGAAAATACTGGATGGTTTCTCTCATAGCAGGAATATAATGGAACAGACGAGAAAATAATGATAATGATGAACAGCTATTTACCAGAGACATTTTGGGGGGTGGAGTGGGGAATGGGATCAAAAACAGTGGAGGGAGGGAAATGCACTGGACTATGGTAATGGCACATGGGTGATTTGGTGATGGGAAGCCCAAGGGGATTGCAACTGAGATGGAAAAAGGCACAAAATGATGTAAAAATAAACTATATCTATCTATCTATCTATCTATCTATCTATAAACAGTGGGCGAGGGGAATATCTTTCTCACAGTCATGTGTAAAGCATCTTTAGTAATAGAGCTATAGGTAAACATACAGTTCACCCAGTTCAAGTCTTTGTGACTAAAGGATACATTGGGAGAAAGACCCAAACATGGCCATCTTAATCTCTATCTCAGAATGTTAAGTTCTAATGTTAAAACATAAAGTGCTTTTTCTTTATCCTAAAAAAAAAAATTTTGATTTGACAGCCATAAATCTACTCAATTCTTAATATTGCTATTCAAAATATGAACTAAGAGTTCATTACAGTAGAAGCAAAATCTCATCTCCAGGGGACTTTCATGAGAACTCAGATGCCAGGACAGATAACCGGATGCAAATCTGCACAGAGAGAAGGTGAAGGGCATTGCCTACTAGCTGGAGTTGACATTCCAGAAATAGGCATTGCGTGAGCCTGTGAGAAAAGTCAGGAGGAAGAGGGCAGAAGGTAGGATGATCCGCCGAATAAATTCATCATTTTTGTGCACCAGCTCAGCTTAACTGTAGACAAGATTTCACAATTAAACCCTTCAAATGGCTAACTGCAAACCCAGATGGGCTTGTCATCGTGCCCTATAGGTCAGGAAACTTGGGCTTTACTGGACTGACAGCAGGAATTGTTCCAAAATCAACTGTCCTCCACTGAGAATTCCCTGTCAGCTGTCAAATAAGGCTGGCTTCATTGAATTTAGCTTTCTAAGAGTGCAAAAGGGGAAAGAAGATCTCACAGAGACAGAAAACAGACTTTGCAGAATTTTAGAGCTTAAGGCCAATACCTTTCACTGTGCTCATGCCATGAATGAAGCTAGCAGCATCTGGATCCCAGATGTTCCAAGTGTTCCCCCATGAGAAGAGGCTGTCCTAATCTGCTCCAGGGCTCATAGCAGATCATGAGAAAAGGCACCCCATACACCCAGCCAGGAAAGAGACAGGGCTGACTCCTGAGCACAGTCAGAAGGCCAGGCTTCTTTGTCCAGTGTGGAGCCTTAAATCAAGTTTTCTGTGTTTTCATTTCTTCCCTTGGAAAATCAGACTATTCCTATTTTACTGTGGTGCAGAGAAGATAAAACAGCTCAGGAGATTGGAGAGGCATTTGGTCTTACAGCTTATAAAAGCCTTGTGGCTGAGACAGTGTTATGTATGGACCAGTCTATTTCCCATACTCATTTTCAGATAGGAGAGACCATGTGACCGAGTTCTGGTCAAGGAAATGTAGGCAGAAGGGCATCTCTTCCAGACTTCACACACTAAAACCATCTTAGGCATCTCTACAACCCAACCCCACTGATCATATGCATTGGTCCAGAAGGCAACTTTGAAGCCCTAGGAGATGGTAGCATCTTGGGGATGGAAAGATCCACCTGCCTAGTAGGAATGGGCACATCAGATTTTGCTTGAATGAAAAAGAAAACTCTTATTGTGCTAAATTATCCTGTAGTTGCAATGTAACCATTATGCAATACACTAGATATTGCAATACAACTCTGTCCAACACAGATTCTGATTATATTCTAGATGAAGCAATGGAGGGGACAACTGGTACCTAAAATGAGGCAAAAGAGGCAGGGATAGCAAATACATTGAGAGAAGTCCCACAATGCTCATGAGCACATGCACCTCTCATTCACTTAATGACCCTCCCTTATCAATGCTCCAGGTGAAAACCTTGGAATGTTGCATGGGCACCACTTCAGGTGGCTGACAAACGTCAAGAATCTCAGAGTTTGAAAGAAATCAGTACAAGCTCATTGCAGGTAAGTTTTTCTATTTTAGAAGACAACAGTGGTAAATATCTGGAAACCTGAGTTTGCTGCAATCTAATTCAGCCATATTTGATGACAAATGTAGAAAGTGCAGGTGACTATATCCCAGGTTAATAGCAGTTTTCACTGACTTAGTAATTAATCTGCATGATTTGTAAAATACAAATGTATTTATAATAAAGTGAGATCTACAGAACCCTTAATCCAGAGATTGCAATCATTTTAGAAATGTGTTTACATATAAAATATTCTGCCAGACATTTTTTATTCCTTAAGAATTTGATCTGAGCAAGTTAATTTCTGATGCTCAAAAGTACCTTGACTTTTGGAAGATATATTTTTTTTAATGTGGTGAAGTATATATAATATTAATTTACATTTTTAACAGTTTTGAAGTGTATAGTTCAGTGGCATTACTCACAATGTTGTGTAACCATTATCGCTATCTACTTCCCAAACTTTTCATTATCCCAAATCAAAATTTTCTAACCATTAACCAATAATTCTTTCTTCCACATCCCACTCATTTCCAGCCCCGGGGGCTAATTTATCTTCTGTTTCAATAACTTTCCTCTTCTAGGTATCTCATATAAGTGGGATAAAATTTATTTATCTTCTAATGTCTAACTTATTTTACTTATCATAATGTTTACAGGATCCAGCCATATATCAGAACTCCATCCCATTTTATAACTGCATAATATTCCATTGCATGTATATGCCATATTTTGTTTATCCTCTTATCTTTCGATGGACACTGGGTTGCTCCCACCTTTTAACTATTGTGAATAATGCTCCTGTGAATGTTGGTGTTCAAGAGTTGTTGTTGTTTCTGGTTTTGATTCCTTTGGGTATATAATTTGGAGTGAAATTGTTAGATCATATCTAAAATCTCTTCAGCTTTTTGAGAAATGTCAAACTGTTTACCATAGCAAGCCTGGAAAATTTGTAAAACCAGATTAAAGAAAAATGAAGAAGAAAAATCTCACTATGCCATGAAAATGCCTGAGTGATTTGTGTGCCAGATGGATCTGGAGTCCTCATTTGCACAAAATGAATCTTTCTATCTCTGGCTTTCTTTTCTGGGAGGTCTCATTAAAGTCACCTGAGTGACTTCTGACTGTGAAGTTGATGAAGATGTGCTTCAGAGGCCTTCCCTTGCACTGGCTCCTTCCAAGACCATAAAAAGGGCCCTGACAGTGTGACTTTTTTCTTTAACTTACAAAAGTATGATATTTTTTTCCAAAATTGGTGAAGACCACTGCCTCTTTCAATTCCAACTTTCATTCCACCTATATTCCCTTGTGCTGGGTGATGTTGGAGTGCCTGTGGGAATTTTGGAAATTTGACTAAGGGTGATTCCAATTGGCAATCTGTTGGTTTGGAGGGAGGATAGCTAAATCACTAGTAGTCATTTCAGTATGGAAATACTTCTAGGAATACTACTACCACCCACTGTGGAAACTCATCAACATGATGACCCAAAGGAGAAGTGAGACTATGATGAGAAATGAGGTTTGAAATGTACAGAAACATAGACTAATCTGTGATAAATTCTTCCAAACATCAAATGTGTAAAATCTCAAATAGAAAATGTTTTTCATCAGTGTTGATCCAGAAGGAAGGCTTCTTCATCAGGATTTACACGGTTATCAGTACCTCACACATTTAGTAATTTTTCAATGAAAATTTTACAAATAGGAATGGATTAATATTCCTGTAGTCTTAGAGCAATTAACATGGTGTTATAAATATGGGGGAGCGCAGTTTTAATAGCTCATGTAGCAAAGAGACTTGAAGGAGTTTAAAGGTCCTAAAAATTTTCATGGTATTAGAAATAATTATTATTGTTGTATATATTACTATTAATGGTTAATATAATGAAAATATTTGTAAATTATCAATATTATTATAATATATAGTTGATAATTATTATCACTATTATAAGAATTGCATTTTGATCAAACTTGGAAAAGGAATAATTAAATTATCTTTCTATAGAAGATATTACAAACTTATTATTTTAAAAGGGATGTTCAAAAAATACATATGTAACAAAATAGAGAGCAAGTGTCACAAAGTGGCATCAGGCAGTTAGTAAAAATACATTACTTTTGGATCATGTAATATTTGTAGCATTGGCCAATTTTTCACAATTTGTTGCTTGTTATGATTTCTTTCCTCATTAAAAAAATACTTTCATGTGTGATTTTGTATCATTTTTTCAAAGAAAGTCTCAACTATAGATTGTCTCAACTACAGTCCCCTTGGATCTGCTTCTGCTTAGGTACATCATTTTTTACTGCCAGTAAATTCACTTCATCTGATCCTATACTCTTTTCTGTTCTTCTCTTGCATGCCAGTATCCATAGGAACAGTGCCTACCACATAGTCTTTTAATAACACAATTTCTCCCTACTCTCCCATTCCACATTTACCCCGCATCCAGTGTCTCCTATTTCTACAGCCTCTTGACCTCACAGAGGTACACTCCTTTCTGTTTGATTTCCTACTGTTTACTTTGTTTTTAGTGGTTTCCTGTGGTAGACTAAATTATAACTCTCAAATACATCTATTAATCCCTAGAATCTGTGGATGTTACATCTATGGAAAAATAGGATTTTACAGATGCGATTAAGTTATGCCTCTTGAGATTGGAGATGATTCTGGACTATACCAGTGGGTCTAGATATTTTTGTGAGAGGGGCAGGAGAATGACGCAACACAGACAGATGAGAAGGCAGAGATCACAAAGGCAGAGACTGGCGTGATGTTGCCATGAGCCAAGGAATGCTGGCAGCCACCAGGAGATGGAAAAAATGACAGCCTCAGGCAAGAATATAGCTCAGAGGAGCCATACTTTTGGGTCCAATTAAACTGATTTTTGGATTTCTGACCTACGAAACTATGAGAGAAGAGAGCCACTTCATTTGTGGTAATTTAAGACAGTAGCCTTTGGAAACTAATACTCCCAACCTACTGTAGTCTATATTCTGAAAAATCCAAATTACCTCTACTCCAATAACTTGTGATTCCAATATTCTGGTCTTGAGCCCCCTTTCCATGAGGTCCTCGACCCACTACCTCTTGTCCCCTGTACTGTGTTCTATTCATCCGTAGGATGAAAGTTTTTCTATAAAAGTTCATGACCCCTTCCCCACTTATGACCTTGACCAGCTCTGTTGGAGCCTGACTGAGTAAAGAGATAGAACCTTGCTCCTTTTGGTGCATTCTTCTGGTTCTAACATCATCCCTTTTATGGGCATTTGGGTTGATTTCACATCTTCCCTATTGTAAGTAGAGCAGTAATAAACATGGATGTGCAGGTGTCCTTTTGAATCAATGTTTTTGTGTCCTTCGTGTAGATACGTAGGAGTGGGATTTCTAGGTCATTTCTAGGTCATATGGAAGCTCTAATTTTAGCATTTTGAGAAACCTCCAAATAGCATAGTGTTTGTATCATACCATCATCCCCCTTTTTTTCTTTTCTTTCTTTTTTTTTAAAAGATTTATTTATTCATACAGAACTGGGGTACAGGTCAGAGATGCGGAGGGTGAGAGGATTCACCAGGGACAGAGTGGGGTACAGAACAGGCAGATCGACGAGGTACACTGCTGAGGGGAGCAGCGGGCGGGTCAGGAGAGGTCTGCCGCGCCATGTGGATCTCCTCCAGGGCAGGCGGGAATCGAACTCATGCGGAAGTGGTTTAAGCGTCTCTGTGCTGTGCTTTAACCCGCTGCGCCACCAGGGAGGGCCCCCATCATCCCTTTTTTAAGGAGGCCTTTCTATTTGTATTACTTATCTCGCAGACAAAACTAGATACGTACATTAATGGGGAAGTGTAGGTTCCCCTATGTATCTAATCCTGCCTAATTTTTACCATGTCTTTCTCCAGAAAGGGTATTAGATGTTGGAAGAAAAAAACTCCTAGTTTTTCAGTCAAGTGTATTTCCAAGTGTAGAGCGCCAGGCAGGCTGAGAGCTGAAGATGGCATGAATGCTGCCCTGAAAGCTTTGAGACTTGGGTGGGAAGGAAGAAACAAGATAACCACATTAATATTTATAATCAAAGTTAGGTGCTATAAAATGTCATAACAAAGTGTGAAGGGCATGCCATTTGCATTTGGGGAGAGTTTACTGAAATGAGATCTAAGACATTGTCAGAGAGGAGGATCCACTTACACAGGTCTGGAGGGGTGAATTTTCCCAGCAGCAAGTAGATTAATGTTAGCAAGTCATTGACACTGAAAAGACTGGAAATAAGGAAATGAAATGGGAAAGGAGATTTGGGACTACATTTTAGAGCTGGAGTCAGTAAACTTTTTCAATTAAGGATCAAATAGTCTAAGACCTTGTAAACCATGGCATCTTTGTTACAACTCAGTTCTGCCACTGTAGATACGTAGGAGTGGGATTTCTAGGTCATTTCTAGGTCATATGGAAGCTCTAATTTTAGCATTTTGAGAAACCTCCAAATAGCATAGTGTTTGTATCATACCATCATCCCCCCTTAAACAATGTGTAAATGAATGAGTATGGCTGCATCCAATGAAGCTTTACTTGTATCAATACACCTTGGGTCAGACAGCCACCTAAGGACACTATAGACCAGGAGAAACCACTGGAGATCTTTGAATAGGAGGGTGACATAATATTACTAGAGCTATGTATTTTGAGAAGTAACAAGTCCATAGAATAATACTAGAATTGGGCAAATGGAGTTGAATATGGAAATAACTATGACTATGGTAGTTTTTTTTTGATAAGAAACCTGAATTAGGGAAGTAGGAACAGAAATGAGAAAGCCAAGTTAAAGGTCATGGCATCTTAGTGAATGTAGAGAGAAATTAAGAGAGTCAAAATATAAATGGCTCCAATTCAGAACCTGGAGGCCAGGTGCTTAGAGAATGCACAAAAAGTTAATGAGCAATATCATAAAGGAACTTTGGGGATGGAATGTGCTACCTATGCTCTCGGCACTCGGGGTGGGG